TACTTGATAATATGCAGAAAATATTGCAGAAAAAATTAGCCAATTTTGACACTTGTTAATTCCCTTCAACTAGTCGTCTTATGGAAATTACACTATTTTACGCACTTCGCATTCAAAACTTTTGAAAATATTCAATACATAGCACCGTGCGACGGATTGAACTTTTTGTGGCCACGCGCATTTTCAACTTTCCCGTAAAGATATCATGTGTTCTCTATATCTCTGTTATTCCCCATAATATCCATTCCTGGTAAGTACTAAAAAAAAGTTCAAAAAATTAGAATTATTTTGATAAAAAAAAATTCTGCTATAAGTTTATACTTTTGGCATGAGCGGGGTTCAAAGTTGGGATTTACAAGGGTAGTGTCACAAGTGATAATCGCGGATTTCACATACAACACATCAAAATGAACACAATATTTGTTATAATGAACTACAATTAGCTGAAATATGATTACTAGTCATAATACATGATATTATAGCACGATAGGGCAATGTTCCCCCGATTTTGGTAAAAAAAATAAATACAGGAAATATATAAAAAAAACATTACCTTAAATGTAACGTACGCCTTGTTGTAATTATTTTGAAGTTGTTCACATGTGCAAATGCCAACTCGATTCAAAGATCTGAAAATAGAAAATTTAAGCCAGGTAGGGCCCCTTGTCGGTTAAAACCGCAATACTACCTGGGATTAGAGTATTAAGGTACATGGCTTGGGGCCGCTGAGTAGAACTACATGGGCATAATAACAAACATAATTTATAATCACTCAATTTAACTTTATACCTTATAACATGATCAAAAATGACTAGATTCATAAAACTAAAAACATTTGTTGTCGTTGGTTTTTATCGTTGGGCTAATACTTAGTATAGTTAGAATAAAATAATGGGGAAAAAAATACTTACCTCGTTTTCAAGTTCAATTTCATTTTCGTAGTCCAAACTGTTTTCATCGGGTTCGACTTGTTGATCATCGTCACCAAATTCTTGTGTAGTTGGTACAGATGGGCATTCTAGCATATGTAGGACTTCTTGAGGTAGAGCCAACTGTTTTCGATAACGGGCTCTTTTGTCCAGATGAAGAGATGATAATAGGGGATCTGAGGTATCCATGGCTCGATTGAATATGTCTGTCATAGTGGCTGTTCGACTAATTTTTCGAGAATGACGCAGTCTATCCGACTTGTACATCTTGTTGCTTCTTCAGCAGTATAAGGGGTTGGAGTTGTTGAAGGTTTGCTGAGGGAATCCAGTATTACTTGCTGTTTCGATGGTGACAGGGATTTTTTGATAATTCTGGCTGCCTCAGGATGTCCGTGCTTATTTAACGTCCTAGAAACTGCATGGACAAGATCGCCAGGATCCTCAGGGGACAAGGATTTCTCAAGTTCTTCAACCCTTCGTCGCTTGGTCCTTTCTGAAGGGAAGAAGTTTTTAGGCAAGACAAAATAACCGTCCAAGTATTGTTTTTCCTTGTCCAAGAAAAAACTCATTCTTCTTGCGCACTTCTGATATTTGGCGACTGTTTTGAAGGCCCAAGCTCTTGCTAATCTGTCCAAGTGATCCTGTTGCAGATCGTTCAAACTTGCAGGTAAAGATTCTGATACAGTTGTCTTGATAAAATTAACTCGTTCAGACGGTGTTTTTAAATTTACTATCTGAAACCCATATGATTTTAATTATTTAAGTAAAAAAAACAGTAAATTTTTTTTATTAATTTTGAGAATAAAATAACCCTTATATTACCTTTTCGGCCAAAAACTTCTTTTCTATAATTGTTGGTACTCCTTCCATGTCGTGTGTCCTTGTTTCTGGAGACTTATCACTTGAGGCCAGCGACACCATCAAGTCAGGTCGGTCTGAAGAAGGCTGTTCCGAGTCGTCATTCGTAGATCCACCGGCATTATCTTTAATTGTGCTCATTTTTTAACGAATAGCCCGATTTAGGTCCGTCAGGTTGCTGTGTGGAGTCCGTATGGGAAAGATCATCATACACTCCGGGTTCAGCTTCCTGACTTCCCACCGATGGGCCCCCCACGGTGTTTGGTGTTTCCGAAATTGGTGTCCAATCCATGTCAATGTCCGTGTCGCTACCGTAATCAATTGTAATCTGAAACAAGAATATTATTTTAACTCATTTACCAATAACACCGAACATCCCAACGATAATTGCCAAACATTCATCCTAGATCATTTAACCAAGTAATTTTCATCATGTCCACGAAGGAAGCTTCTCTTCATATTTCGATTCCTCGGTTCTGCGAAATAAATAAATATTTTAGTTAAATTAATCATATATGACACAAATATAATTTATTTTTCCAATATTTATTTTTTTACCAAAATCGGGCGAACATTGCATTATCGTGCTATAATATCATGTATTATGACTAGTAATCACATTTCAGTTAATTTCAGTTCATTATAACAAATATTGTGTTCATTTTGATGTGTTGTATGTGAAATCCGCGATTATCACTTGTGACACTACCCTTGTAAATCCCAACTTTGAACCCCGCTCATGCCAAAAGTATAAACTTATAGCAGAATTTTTTTTTATCAAAATAATTCTAATTTTTTGAACTTTTTTTAGTACTTACCAGGAATGGATATTATGGGGAATAACAGAGATATAGAGAACACATGATATCCTTACGGGAAAGTTGAAAATGCGCGTGGCCACAAAAAGTTCAATCCGTCGCACGGTGCATAGTTTTAATCTAGCAATAGGGAGGTTGAGCAAGAGTCAAAGTTTGTGATTGTTACCGTAATTTTGATTGTAGAGATAGCAAGTCCTGTACTTCTACAATCAAATTTACAGTACAATCACAAAATTTGACTCTTGCTCAACCTCCCTAATAAGGACACGATCTAAAACCTCAATTAGGAAGAATTTTTAAATTTTTTCCCAAACGTGAGAAATAATTCAAAATGTATCAAAATGACGTCATAACAGTGACGTATTAGTGACGTCACACACATAAGTAGTCCGTAACCTTAATACTTTCTATTAAAAATTTGGTAAATTAGAAAATTTCTAATCTACTACATAGTTAAATCACATTGAGTGGTGTTGAAGGGTTGATCAGTACCCAGACCGCACAATCAATGGGTAGTTAGCCACCTCCCTCAATCCATTTTTAGCTACAGGGAGTTCGGTCGAGATGTTCGTCAAGGTAAAAAACCTAAAAGTGACCGATTGTCTTGAAATTCAAAACTTAAGGTTGTAGTGACCTAAAAATATTATTCATGCTATATTTTAATCGCCATGACCTTTTTTCGACACGATTCGACATGATTGGCTAAAATTAACCGATTGACTTGAAATTCAAAACTTAAGGTTGTAGTGACCTAAAAATATTATTCATGCTATATTTTAATCGCGATGACCTTTTTTCGACACGATACGACATAATTGAACCGATTGACTTGAAATTCAAATCGTATCGTGTCGAAAAAAAGGTCCTGGCGATTAAAATATAGCATGAATAATATTTTTAGGTCACTACAACCTTAAGTTTTGAATTTCAAGACAATCGGTCACTTTTAGGTTTTTTACCTTGACGAACATCTCGACCGAACTCCCTGTAGCTAAAAATGGATTGAGGGAGGTGGCTAACTACCCATTGATTGTGCGGTCTGATTCAGCGCATCAGGATCGCCATTCAACGCGGAAGTGTCGTTGCAATTTTAGGAAAACTCCCGCCAGGCAAGGAACTGGAGGAGGTGTTTAATTTGTAACTTTCCTTTTCTAGTCAGGTGAGGGTAATTTTTGTTACGCCGTTGCAAGGCGAAATTTTTTCTGCGATAATTTATACAACAGTGCTATGATTTAGATAAATTACTGAATAATAAAAATTGTATATTGCCATGTAATGAGACTTACCCTACCTAAAGTCTACTTTGAATGCATGCAAATCCTCAACTCAAGATTTCTGGACAAAACGTTCATGTCTGTGAGCCATGATTTTGCACGTAAGACAAAAACAGTTTCATTACTGTATTTCTCCACAAATCGCTATATAATAGATGGGGAGATTGAGACATATATTGATATATATGGATGCTATACCTATGTAGTGTATGTAATGTGATGACTGAATGAATTAGCAAAGACACTAACTAGGAAGACTAGGCATGTGTGACCCGGACCTAGCGATCTTGTTATATACATTCGATGTATTTTTTAATTGTAGTCAGACTATGTAACAAAATTGCCGTGTAAAAATGACATTTGGTCACTTTGTGACGAGCGTAAGGCAGCGTTTTTACTACTTGTGGCGTGCGCTGGGAGTAGTGCTCGCTTCCCAAGCAACGGCTCGTCCCACATCATTTTTCGATATTCCTATTTTTCAACTCATCATTGTAAAATTTTTGTTTGGACATAAATCTGTCCAATATTTTCTAATAAAAACCAAGATCTCGTTAATTTTGAACATAAGTAAATATATCAAAAATAATAAGTAAGTTAGTGTAATTAAATACGTAAATTTTCGCCTTTACACTAATAAGCTGTTTTATAATTAATTTAATTTCAGTAATTAATTAAATTTAGTTCATCAGTTTTAACGGGGAATTTTTTTAATGAGACGAGTTTATATCAACAAGCAGGTTATAAAGAGTTTCGGTTATGCATAATTTACACAATCATCCATTGGTCAGTAGTGATGCCGACAAAGTTCGAGTTAACTATTTAATACAATTAAAATAGATGAAATCCTTAAAGTTGAAAAAATAGGAATTTTGAGCAATGTTGAACGAGTCGTTGCGTTGGTGGGAAGCGATCGCCACTCCCACCGCACGCCACAAGCAGTAAAAATGCTGCCTTACACTCGTCACAAAAGTCGTCATAGAGTGACCAAATGTCATTTTTACACAGAAATTTTGTTACATTGCCTGACTACAACTACAAAATACATAGAATGTATATAATGAGATCGCTAGGGCCGGGTCACACATGCCTAGTGTTCCCAGTAAGTTGTTGATATTCTCAGTATGAGAGATTAATGAATTATTATATGAATCAATAAACCACTTTATAAGTATCTCAATTATTTAACTGCAGATTCTACGGGCACTTGTTGGAAACGATTGTGGACCATTTTTACCAGAACTGGGCATATTGTATGGAATTCTATCCTATTTCACCAGTTAACAAAAACCTCGCCAACTTCTAGGATTTATGTAAAATTATTTACTGATAAAAATTTTACCAAGTGATTATGGTTTCGACTATGATCATATTTTACAGATAAGATGAATCACCCTTTAGATTCTAAAATTACACTGTTTACCATAATATTGGCAACATGACAAGTCAAAATAAACACAGGATGTGGTTCGTATCCTGTGTTGATATTTCTGGTTGGTGTAGACGTAAGGAGATACCAACTTTCTTGCAACTGTTACGAATATGTAAGCTATGCAAAATAAATATGTATCCAACACTTTCGTAAGATTGGTGTTCAAATCTCTTTTATTTATATCTTTTTATATAACGAATTAACGTACTCTTAACCTAACCTAAACCCTACTCACTACAAAAACTCATCCAACCTCACAATCTCCGTCTCTCCCTTCTCACTTGGTCTATTTTTGTCCGAAGCCCAGACTTAGATCTGCATCATTGCAGATCCAAATCCGGTCACGCAACAGAATTTTATTAATTCCGTGTACAAAAGTGTATCAAATTGTGCTAACTTAGTTATAGAGGAATTATTATTTTTTATATAAGCTTGTAGTAATCTTGATCATTCGCTATATATTTCTTTTATATGAATTTAAGAATCATGCCATGCATTATGGCTTTGTAGAGCTGGCAAGATAGAATAAATTAATCAAGATTTTTTTTTCATTTAAACGTTTATAAATCTATGACAGCGTGATAACTTGTCATTTAATTTTCGCCGCATTGCAGACTTCAAGAATAACTTAAAAACTTAAAAATAATTTTAGATAGAATAAATCGCTCCAGATTTTGGAACAAGTTAGCAGCCTCCAAGTATAATTTGAAATCATTTTCTGAACTGTTTCGTAACCGTGACAAAACTCATTTGTAAAAATGTCAGACATTATTACGGTAGGGCAACTTGTTGGAATGTTTTGGGAAGTTTGGGAACCCGGTGATGAGTCCCACGTAAAAGATTTCGCAAATGCATTGGATGGTACACTAGATGTGTTTAAATAAGTCACAAATCAATGCAATACAGTGAGCACAGATAGTCTTTATGCCCTTAAAAGCTTGAATATCTCGCGCATTGGTCGAGATAAAAATTTGAAATTTTGCAGAATGGAAATTAAGAAAGATTGTGGTTGGATTCCGCCCCAGTTTTTGAAATACGTCAAAAAGGTGAAAGGTCATGACCTTTTCAAAAAAAGCTCACATGATGAACTCTGCGAATACACTACTTTACTCAATTGAATAAATATTTTAGATGACCTTTTAGAAAACCAAAAAAGCTCACTTTTCAGCTACCACTAGTGATTTTTTTCATTATTGGCTTTGTTCTGGAATCCATAGGCCAAATATTTCTGAAAATTTTGACATGCCATTCAACTCTCTATGATTTTTTTAACAAAGTTATGAATTTCTGAAAATCAGCTCACCGACGAAATTTCCCATCAGAGCAATGTTAAACTTTTACGGCGAGCATTTTTTCAAAAATTCATAACTTTGTTAAAAAAAATCATAGAGAGTTGAATGGCATGTCAAAATTTTCAGAAATATTTGGCCTATGGATTCCAGAACAAAGCCAATAATGAAAAAAATCACTAGTGGTAGCTGAAAAGTGAGCTTTTTTTGAAGGGCATAAAGACTATCTGTGCTCACTGTATCAATGATATTGCATTGGTGATATTATATCATCAATGTGATCCAATATGTAATTCTCACTTTAACGAACTAGATGACGTCCAATCCCACCATGAACGGCAATTCGAATTACATCGTAATCCTGGCATCTTAGTGGACATTTTACTTCGATGGTTATCTCGTGAGGGAGAACGTGCAACGATTGAGTTGCTGCAGGAAAGGCTGAGCAAGGGGAAAGACTCAGTAAGATACTTCCGATACAGAGACAGAGACAGAGACACAGACTTCAGATACCCAAGGGAGAGTTTCTTGAAGGATTTGAAAGGTTTGTAAGAAACTGATCAAATTATTGACTTACATGTTCGCAAGTACAATGATGTTATCCGTAAATGGCAATTTAAGCATTTATGTAGTTTTAATTATTGGTACTCCAAATATAATTATATCGTTAAATTTAAACCACATTACAAAATGTATTATAATGCAGATACTCTGAGGCGTTCACACCTAGCCCCAAACACAAAGATCGTCGTATTAGACCCTGCTTACAGTTCAAAGATTTGTAGTCCTTTACCAACCCCCTCGTCTTCACAATCAATAGATAGCAAGCAGGAGGAGACAGCACTCATGGGACGAAAACCTGTTTATAATTTCGACAATGAATCATACATTGTAATAGGGGGGAGGAACGATCTTACTACAACTTTTGGAATTAAAGTAAATGACACTGATGGCGGCGATTTGGAGGGTTACATCCCTTGGAAAAGGATCAGTAAGTATTATATTTGTCAACAAAAATGACAATCATTCATTAATTACACCTTTTACATATTCCAAGTTGGACATGGGCGACCATATCGGAAAGTAAGCACAAAATTGATCATCTCCGAAGAAATGTTAAGCATTATGCCAAGAACGGCCATTATATTTTTATCTCCGCCACGCGACGCGACTTCCACAGAGGAAAAGTATCGTGCCTGTGAGTTAAATTGTCTAAACGAAATACTGAACGAAATCACTACAAATTTTGTACACATCAAGACATTCAAGATTGACTGGCTGCGCCAACTAATTATTTACGATATGAACTTCCCCGTCCTGAAATTTCTAGCGAATGCGGATTCAGTTCTTTGCAATTTTGTGTTGGACAACCCCCAAAATATTGCGGAGGGGATGATGTATCCGAATGCGTTTCGCTGCCTTGAAGATCGCACAGATAGATACTTTAAACGCTTTCAACAAATTGGTCCACAGATTACCTTTTACACAAGAATAAAAAATATGCTAAGCTGGCTTGGTGGATATGGTGTAAAAGTTGGTGGTCAAACTGTTAAAGTAGCCTTGTTAGACACGGGTGTTAATTTGGACATGTTGCCGGATCAACGATGTTTTACTTCAAAAATGAAGACAGCGAATGATGGAAATTTAGTTGCATGCGTCGACGACTCCGATGTTCAACACGGCACCAAAGTGGGATACATTTTATCAAGGACATGCCACCCTTGTACGAAAATTTTACCAATAAAAGTCTTGGACAGCCAAGGCCAAGGCGATTTGGCTACGATAACTCGCGGACTACATCACGCAAAAGAATATGACGCACAAATTATAAATTGCAGCTTCAATTTCAAAGTAACAAACGAGTAAGTATATGTCCACATATACAGTAGCTAATTTATTGAATAATTTCAAATAAATTCATAAATAACTCATATGCCAAATAATAAGTATGGGGAGTATCAACCTGTCTTTCGACTAAAGGTTGGCCACTTATGCTTGGTATAAGTAGAATTAGTAGTTAGAGCAAGTAGCTTGAAGCTTGGTATTTCAGCTCTTTGACAGACTAACAGACTAGCGTATTGTTGTCTTTACTTATTTAAGCCGGCTCCATAGTCACGTATTTTCATGTTATGCTCCCTATCCTCTAATGTTAAATTTAGCATTACAGGATAGGGAGTATGACATGTAAATACGTGACTATGGAGCCAGCTTTAGCCTCTCATATAATCATTGTCATTTATTAATATATCAATTACAGGGTTGCGATACTCTTGATAACTAACGTCTTTAACGAGTACTACAATCAATGTAATGGGAAAGTGCTTCCTGTTATATCCGCTGGAAATTCGTCCAACCCAGACGTGCTTCCTCCAGGTCATTTGAATTCTGTGATATCAGTCGGTGCATTGACGTGGGATCGCACTTGGTGTGAATTCAGTAGCGGGAAATGTGCCGCGGATGTTGCAACTTTCGGAGAAAATCTTATTCTTAGACTAAATAGGCAGGTTAGTAAGATAATCATAATAACGAAAAATTACATTGTTTTGCCTACGAAGTGGACGCATACCCACCTGCCAGAGTGGTTAGGTTGGTTACATTTTCAGTCTACCAGCTCCATGTTAGGCTCTAAAGCAGCGACGGGCTATAACACGGTCGTATCCTCATGATATCCTAATGTCCATTATTTTTGATAAAGGCCCCATATTACTTAGGGTGTAAGGCGTCTAATACATAGACATCTGCATGATATCACCTTTGTGGATATTGGGATATCCTAGGGATATTTTAAGGACAAAGTACATGCTCGTGGCTGCCTGGGATGTCATACACACGAGTGATTATTTCGTATAAATGATTTATATAATGTAAAGATATTTCTTGCTCAATATTCTACATAATTGGAAACGTTTTAATTAATTACACTTTAAAATTTTGAAATTGTTCTAAATTCGCATTCTTTCGTCCACAATTAAAACAGGAACCTTGCACTGAATTTGGGACTTCTCTCACTGCATCAGCGGTTTCCGGGTTGCTAACTCGGTTGGTTTCGGAATGGCCGGAACTTATTGAATTTCCTAAAGCTAAGGAACTCCTAGTAGGAAATGCAGATAATGTTGAACAATGTGCGAGTCACCCTGTATGCCAAAAAATGTTAAATCCTAACCGGGCCTATACAGGTAAATGTACGTCAATTAGAATTTAATGACAACCATAGCTGTTCATAAAGTGTCATCGTTTATAATTGGTCAACTCATATAGGTATGAATTTCATACCTATTTGAGATTACGTGAATGTTTGTCGCTCACATGTGAGGCAGCTCGAGACAACACGAGTTTAGTTTTTAATTTTTATCTATCGTGTCTTGATCTGAAAAGCAGTGTATCTGATATTCCGCGACACATGAATAAACACCGGTACACAGTAAACAGTTAGGTCGAGCTACAATTTTTATTATTCAACGTAAAATTGGGATATTGAGACTTGTAACAATTGGCAAAAGGTTGTACAAGAAAGTCGACGAGTCTGGGCTTTGAACAGAGAACGTGTTGTATATAGTGCTCTCAATGGTCCGGTTCTTGGAAGAACCGGGACCGTACCGAGAACCGATAAGGGTGGACCGAAACCGGAACCGGCCCGACCGATAAGAAAGTTTTTAAATCTCAGTCAGGGCTTATTGAACAACTATAGCTGTTCATATGTAGGCAGGGTAAGGTCAGAGACGGCTTAAATTTCTCATTTCAAATTTTAGCATGTGAGCATTGCGGAAAATTAGGATGTGAGTTTGGAAATGGGCGAAATTAGTAAAGTGATAAACCGGCGTAGGTCATAGAAATGGATTGACAATCATGGATTAAATTTTGAAACGTGTGGAAATTACTTACAATTGGGGAAAATACTAAATTCAAGTCAAGTATTTATTTCAAGTACTTACAATGCGAAGGTGTTAACGGCTAACCTCAGAATTCGACCGGACCAATTTTATTTGGTAGTGCAGGTCATCCTGACCAACGTTTGGTTTTGCACTTTTCTGAATTCGCGAGTTTGACCGCGTGGCGGGATTTTTTAAACACTTTTCAGCCAAAACCTCAGTTTTTCAAAACGCGTTAGTTTTTCAAATTTTGGCGCAATTTCAAAAAATCCAGAACATGTATTCTTAGAATTACGTACTTGAATTTCTAAAAATGCATTTTCAAAATTTTTTGACAAAATTTTGCTGAGATTTTAATTTTTCGAAATTCAAAAGTTGACACAAAAATTTCAAAATTTGACAAATTTGAAAATGCATTTTTAGAAATTCAAGTACGTAATTCTAACGGTCGTATTCTCAATGCAAAATTTTTACCCTGAGTATGAGTGGCCACTCCCACTCACACTCAAAATTTTGCATTAAGAATATGACCGTAAGAATACATGTTTTGGATTTTTTGAAATCGCGCCAAAATTCGAAAAGTTAAAGCGTTTTGAAAACCCGAGGTTTTGGCTGAAAAGTGTTTAAAAAATCCCGCCAGGCGGTCAAACTCGCGCGTTCAGAAAAGTGCAAAACCAAACGTTAGTAAGGTTGACCTGCACTACCAAATAAAATTGGTCCGATCGAATTCTGAGGTTAGCCGTTAACACCTTCGCATTGTTAGTACATAAACCTCTGGTACAGCTTTGCTTAGCCCGAGTTGGTTACAAATCTTCATGTGAAGTTGTAGCTTGATTAGACGATTTTTAAAAATCGCTATGGATAGCCCCATATGGTCCCTCCACCTACTTTTTTTTCCAATTTCCCTTCGTATTCTTTCATTAGAAGTTATTACCAACCTCTCTGCTAAAATTCAGCTTAATTGAGTGATTTTACAAAATCAGTATGGGTCACCCCACAGGGTACCTCTGGTTCAAATTTTCAAAATTGTACATCATAAACTCCCATTATAAGCTGTTATCGGCTTCCATACCAAATTTCAGCTTAATTGGACGATTTTGAAAAATCCGTTTGGGTGACCCCATGGGGTCCCTCCGCATAAAAATTTTCGCAAATTCAATTCATATCTTTCAATTAGAAGCCATTAGTTACCTATGTACCAAATTTCAGCTTTCTACAATTTTGAAAATTTGATGCATAATAACCCCACCACCCATATGTCCCCCACCGGCCAACCACTCGACCGAGTTTGCTCATCTTCGAGCTCGATTTTTCGATCGGTTGTCGATCGGTTGAGTTTAAAGAGAGTTATCGCGAAGACAGACGGACAGACAGACACACAGACATAACGGCAACATAAGCCTTGACTTGGGCTAAAAATGATAAGAAACTGAGCAGAAACTCAAAATTTTATCGATGTATACTCTGGGCTACCATCTTCCCTCATTTTTACCCCCTTCCCAATTAGTCAGTGTGTTAATCATAGGGAAAAACAATGTGGATTGAAGGCCGTTCTTTCCAATTAAATAATGTGTCTCATCTTCATTCACACTAAAAGTTGAGATGGACCTATGAAATTGAAGGGAAATTCATCTCAATTGCCCTCAAGGCAACTAAAATGAGTGAGGGTGCAAAGCTCTGAATGCACCTGAATGAATCGATAAATGGTGCGATAAACAAATTTCAAAGCTTATTGAATAAAAAAAATTATTCGGTATTAATATAAATATTTCTTTTAGCTGCTGAAGCGCGAGTACATTACCCAGCAGCTAATGAATCAGTGGGCTTTGTCGCGGTCGATTTAAGAGGCGCCTTCCAGGATATGTTCGATCCTTAAAATGTTTATGTTCGGTTTGCACATAAAATGGTACTTTTGGTAAATTTTACTAACCAAGTAAATCAATTAAAATAGGATTGGCTTCACCAGGCTGGTAGAATGTTATAGCATTAAATTCAAATGTTCACCTTTATTTCTTGTGGATTACAAAATTGATACACAAAATTTGTAACATATCTTATAAAAATTATAATTCATTACTTGTTTCCAATAAATTTTATCATTCATAAATGAACGGAAATTCTTGATATACGTACACTTAAAAATAATTGTCTCCCGTTTTTAAAAATTAGACTTGTAAAATTTAGACATAGGGATTCCGCGGGTAATAATTTATCACGTTATTTTAGCTGTACTTCCAATCCGAGAACTTCAATTCTACGTCTGATATTTGTATTACCTATTTAAATAGTTAATAAAATTTTGCAAATAAATTCCTCTTAATCATTTGCATGTGACCACAATTTTTATTGTATTGATTCTATCTAATTTTTTTTTAATTCTTGTCAAAATTTTAAAACAACGGACTGGTAGAAATACTCCAAACACCTGACTTGGGCTACATGAACATGGCACACGGAAGGGTTTTGATTTGTCGTTAGGAAACTGTGATAAGCTCAAATTATGCGTGCTTCAGAGGATGACTGAAAATAAGACATTTTTAGCCTATTTGGGTTTGCAACTATTTTCCAATTATGAATTATATACTACACATGCTATGCAATGATTTTTGTTTTGCTGAAATAAATGTTCAGCGGTCGTTCAGTGGCATAAGTCGTAGTTGGAGGATTATTGTAAGGATGCCGGTCGTAGTGTCGGTTTACCTATCTTTTCGACACGTTCATACTTTGTGTTCTACCATTTGAAAATTAAGCGTGATAATATGTGTCAAGTTATGCAATTTTTTAAAATGCAATACCAAGTTTATTAAAGAACACCATCCACATTTGTTATTTTGTAGTTATGAAACGTAAATTTTAACATTGTTACTACCTAACAAGAAATTCACTAGATTGGCCCTGGTAGTTTTGCAGATGGCCACCAATCTCTAGTCTGTAGTAACCAAAATGGCGGACTGTATACATACACCCCTAACTTAACAGTAGGATCGAATACCCATCGTACCTCGACTTCCATGGTTTCATGACCTCGCCAGAAAAAGCTGTAAAGTCAAGAAAATAAAAAAAAAGGTTTTTATTTACAAAAAATTGGACAAACGTTAAAAGAGGAAGGCATACAGGGTATCTAGATCCGGATCAGTCCTCCAAATCTCCCACTTCTCTATGGCACTAGCTTTCTTCTCAATTAGAAGAAATGTTCCCTTTCTCAGGGCAGAATTACGTGGAGAAGCTGCCCTAAATATAACGGATACTTGGGTATCAGTGGCACTATAGTATTAGGCATTTGCATCCACAATGATGGAGCCGTATGCTTCTGGTGTTACGGTATCCACCCAAGGCATAGATCGGATATTTTGCGTACTCCGTACTCCGAGTACTCCGTACTCCGGCAAATCTAGCGTATTCCGGCAAATCTAGCGTATTCCGGCAAATCTAGCGTACTCCGGCCTCCGGCCTCCGGAGTACGGAGTACGTACTCCAAGCCCGGAGTACTCCGACCTATAACCCAAGGTCCAATTTCTGCCCGTACCAAATCCAGAAATGACGGTGGCGTAGGGCCGTCCGGTATTCTTTCCGGGGCAAGCTGAGAACGTGAAGTTTATTACTTAGACTATTTAATACTTGTGCAAAATGGTGTAATCATTTGAGATGATACCTCCACAACAGCAGTAGCCATTTGAGTCATCCAATAAGTGACAACTGGTACCGTATTCCGGCCAAATATAGTGGCTACCCCTTCATAGTTCTTCGTATCATATTCTTGAGGAGTTGTAACATAATTAATATAATTATTGGTAAGCCCGGCAAGAATAATGTGGGAATCTGGAACAACAGTTTGAATATGCCGAAACACTTGCCTGCCCGCCATTATTGTGAATTCACCAGGAAATCCGACCAAGGATACCGAACCAAGACGGAAATACTGCACGGAGAAGATGGATGGCATCCAGGGCCAGAGATCATTCATCTCTCCACCAGCTAGCATGACACCTTTGGGCCTAAAACACCAATAATTAGTAACCGGAATGACGGTACCAGCGTTCACATATGTCGTACTTGCTCTTGACATCATACCATTTCATCGGAAGGAACTTTTATCAAGTCCCTTATAATTTTCCAAAGTTCCCCTTTTGGATAAAACTCCTTAAAATAAGCGACGCCCATAGCGGCCTGGCAAAGCCAGACTTGCTCAACTTCTCCGGATGTTTCATTAAAGTGCGGAACGTTCTCTACGTCTACGTCAACAAAATGATGAGCGTAGCCAATAGAGCCTGTTACTTTTTGGTGGTTTTGTACACTATCACACAAATCCTTAGTGTGGACCAACTGTCGTTCGGCAGCGTACCTCATTCTATTAGCAGGAGATATGTTCAGTTGAAAATACAAAATTACTCTCATTTATGTGTACATTAAGTTGTCATTGAGATGAAATAATATAATATTATGAGATGAGATTAGACGAGATAAGATGGCTACTAAATGAGATGAAACGTATGCATGAAGAGGTGAGATGACGACTAACTGGGATGAGACATATTAATTATGACATGAGATGAATTGTTGAGTCATGAGATATGCTAGTTCTTAGTTGTCTCATCTCGTCTCATCTCAAGTTTAATAAGACGATATGAGATCAGTTTCAACTTGGAGCATATCATTTAGTTTTGGTCTCATCTCACCAGATGGTGGGACGAGATTTACATAGATGGGAACATCGTCTTATCTCGTATCATTGGGAACCCTATTGTGCCTAAAAATACCGTTTGAGCCTCGGTGTAATATCGGGATCCTGAGGTTGTGGTCGTGGTGGCACGTCGCCTTCTTCGAAGGATGTGTACACCCCGCCCTCATTTCCTTGACAGAACCCATGGCAATGGAGCAGAAGGAATGGCTTGGGAAAGGCCAAATCGGTCCAATCAAGGCAAAATCAGAACGTTCGGCGGGCAAAGTATTGGCCACTATTTTTTGGGATTCGAAGGGATAACGGACTATCTACCAAAACACGAAGCACAATTAATATTCATCATTACTTGGAAAAACTGCGTTCCTCCGTCAGGAACAAAAGACGAGGGGCTTTGCAGAATGGTTATTTTATTCTTCACGACAACGCTTCATCGCATTCGGCTAAGATTGTTAAAGCAGCCCTCGACAGATCATGGCTCTGGGAAGTCGACCACCCCCCGTATTCTCCAGACCTAGCACCCTGTGACTTTTACCTATTTCCAATTTTGAAAAAAAATCTCAAGGGAGAAAAATTTAACCATGACAATGAGGTTATCACGATGGTGCAAAACTTGTTAGACGGATTTTCTGAAGAATTTTTTTGTGGGCGAATGAGACAACTGAGGTACTGAGTTGAGCGATGTATTGAATTGGGTGGAGATTATGTTGAAAAGCCACAATTTTAAGTTGAATAATGTCTCGTTTTAAAGATAAAATTCAAAGGACACTAATTAAATATATTCCCTCGTACTATGGAAGCAATGATCTGTTGTGAAATTGTGGTCACTAAAATCTGTATTAAGTACATTAAAATTTTCCATTTGGGCAGTTCTTTCCTCGAACAGTCTAGTCATTCAAGAGAAACTTATGGAACTTGAAAACATTTTTTAAGTGGTTAATGTATGATTTGCTTGTAAATAAACCACAACAATGGACACAATTATGTGAATTAGTTCCCAGTAATTTATGATTGTCTTTTAAGTGGTCAGAATATAATTTTAATCATTTATATCCTTGCCCACAAATGAAACAAATATGTATATACCGAACCAGACCGCAACTTGGTTATTCCATTCCAAATTTGAATCCGGTCACCAAGGATTGGGACGATGTGGAGTACTTTACAAATACTTTTGAAGGTTTTCCAAAGAATCGTCGGTTAAATTATTATCTGTAGAGAATAAATGTGCAAAGATAAAGATTTGAATCTGCAAAACCTATAGAAAGAAATAAAAATTCTCACCTTTAAACAATGTGCAGTACTTCCTGAGATTAAGCTGGATCAATAATCTCTGAATTTCAGTATGACACATTTTTAAAATACTTTAAAATATCTGTAATATATGTATGTTCTTTTAAATAATTGCAACTGATAATTTCTTACTAAACGAGGGAGATTGTGAATAAAGACTTCGAAGCAACCAAACGGTAAATCATAAAAGGCGGGTGCAGAGCGGTATGCATACTTTCATAGAAGTTTGTCCAACTTTAATTGGAGGAGTGATGAACTACTTTATGGGTTATTTCCATGTTTGATGCTATTATAATAGCATATAATAATTCTATAGAGTTATGAACATCCCTTACTCTTAAAAGAGCAAGTGGATTTACTTTTTGAAGTATCTTCGCATACTTAGTCCAGGGTTTTGACCATTTTTACTTTTCAAGAAGTATTCGACAGTTTTGAGAGTATATATAAACGCCCTGAGCTTATTTTGAAGTTACGATAAATAAACTTAGTATTATTAGTTAAGTAAAATTGTATACAGAAAGCAGTGTCTTACATCTCCCTCAGCCTCGTAAGAATTCAAAAATCTGAGATTATACCGTTCACGATGTCCTTAAAAAACACCTACATTTTGTGTATAGATTGCGCAAGGTTACAGTTTGTGGTTAAAATTTTTAATGTAATGTATTGTGCAGACCTCTGCCAACATGTTGAGAAACTGGGGAGAAACTATTCAGGGTAATAATTAGAACATGAGGCTTTTAATGGAAACGTGATGCGGAAATAAGAAAAACAATTAGTACAAAATTAAATCTTGTTAAATCCATTGTCAAATTTATTTATTTATACATTGTCAATTTTTCCTTACAGACAGCTATATCTAGGTGTTCAGCAGAATATTGAATTTTGTAAAAACACATTAATCAATTAATAATTTGTTAATTTGTAATTGAGTTTTCTCGACTGATTGCTAAATTGAAACAAAATTGTGATTGTGATTGTAATTTGTTGACCAAACGATTTGGATATTTCTGAGAATTATATCCTTTGATATTCTCTTGTTTAAGTAGGAATTACAAAAATATTAGCGACGAACTATTACATGCAAGTTATTCCAATGGAAGTGATGAGATCAACAATAGCATCCTGCCGGAGCTGGTCTACAGTCCAACGTGGGCATCATGAAACCCAATCCGGCACAGGTTCGGAGTCTTTGACAATGCCAAGCACACTGTGCGGACGCCTCGTTTATTGAAATCATTAATATGATTCCAACGATGATAAGAAATGAGATAAAATTCAGTTTTGCAAACATACTGAAAATTTTTAATTTTTGTAGCGTTCTGGAAATCTGCGAGGGAATAATTTCAAATTATTTTATTTTTTATTTTTTACATTCAATGGAAAATGAAAAATGAAAAATTTTATTTACCTGAAGGCAGCTCGGTATGAGGTACACGTTAGGGTGTCTTATTCCAGGTTTTATTTTACTTGATTTGATCAAAAAACATGTTTATATACTAATATGTAAATTACCACAGAGTAACGAATAATCAGATTCTTTGTTAGGGAAATAACAAGTTAGGTGCCGTTACGGCTGGGACGAACTGGATATTGTTTTCTGATACGAAGAAACAGACAAAATAACATATTTTTGCAAGGAATTGCGACACGAGCTGGTATTATCAAATTTATTCGTTATATGTGTGTAGTTGGATGCATTAATTCAGTACAATCCAGCACAGACAGGAATCCTATCACAGGATCAATAACAGATCACAAAACTACTTCTGAATTGAACTAGTTATTTGATGAATTTATGATTTATGGAGGTACAAATGCTGTAAAATGACGCAAAGCAGGCCTGTCCGGAAGTAATGTTAATGCAACGTCGGCTGTTGGTCAACATATCAACTTACGTAAATAAAATATGTAGGTATTTGTGCTTTATGTTTAAGTAAGGTTGAAAATATTGACCAAAGTATTTATGTACATACATATCTCAAATAACATTACTCCAACTTGAATAATTAAAGTTTTGTCGACTCGCATCATTAGTAAGGACGAGACATGAACGTAAATGGGAATTAAATTGTTGAGGCATCTGTGCAAAAAACCATTAAAATCTGGATGGTACTGACAAGTTAACTTTATATAATTCAATGCGTCACAGATTAGAAAAGTTATTGTTATGCAGAAAAACCAGTAATGACTGGGTGTTTCTTCATACTTTTATTGTCGAGTGTGTCAAACGTTATCAGTTTGCAAAACCAATAACTGTTGTAAATACAGTGATGAAAAAGGTGTAGTTATGGCCAGTTGAAGTAGACGATGGACACTGTACACGATGGACCATGGACAGGGTTTTTTTACCGTCTCCCAATAATAATAGAGGTCATTTGACAGTTTTTTATCATGAAATAGTACACTCCAAAAATTGTGGCAACGGGTTACCGTTTGTACTATATATATGACTATTCCGGGTTGGTAATAAAATTGCTACCTAGAGGTTATAAACTGTTACCGGACTTGACATGAATGGGACCAAATTTCAATAAATGAAATGGAAATGGAACAATTTCAATAAATTTAGCAAACTGACTGAATTATGTGTCCAAATGATGCGTTGTATGTATTTAGATATGTTGTTCATCTGGTAGCCTGGAATATTTGACGCAATTTGCATAATAATAGGTATGTCATTTGGAAGTTTTAATTTTGTAATTTGCTACAAAGATAAGTAAATAGGGGTCAATCTGTATTCATATGAATACAGATTTATTAGATTTATACATAAAGATTTATACTTATGTACCTATAGGTACCTAAGTATACTTCAGTGCAAGTGTACTTATTTTTTCCCAATATCTTGACACCTTGGACGCACATACTTGTACATAACATGAGTCGATACCTGTAAGGTTTTCATAAAGTACCTACATACACGAGGCAAATAAACATTTCGATTAATTCATCACTGATATCGGGGTTACGTTATATAAATCCCTTAACCTGTAATTGACGTTATAGGTTTTGTAAAAGTTACCAGTACTGAACTCGAATGGAGCTTTAAACTATATGTGTGTTTAGAATTGATTGGGAACATGAAATTTAAATATGAATTCAGTATTTTTGCAACAAAGAAATCTTTGATTAGTATCAAACTGTTGTCTAATTGGATTATTGAACGTATCACATAACGGGTGTCTAGTATTAGCTCGATTAAGTCGTAGCAAAAACATGTCGAAATTTTATGTTCACGGGAATAATTGGTATTAAAGGTATAGATTCAGATTCATGAAATCGTTGTTATTTCAATGCACGATTCCCCGTGACCGTGTGGACGAGGTCAAATGGAAAGAAGAAGGGTTTAAGGCGCGAAGCGCCCCGGGATATCAATCGCCCGATTGATGGGGGAGGAGGTTTAAAGGCGCGAAGCGCCGAGAGGAAGGCTAGTGTAAGTTTAACTGGCAGAACTTTATTTCCCCTTTATCTCATTCAACGAGAAACCCAAAAATCTCTGCTGATAGTAAGAACATCGAAAAAATTGATAAATCAAACTTTTGTCACTAAAAGTGGGTGGTACATCTGAGTATGTCATGCCAGTATCTTAACCTAATCTTATCTTAACCTGCCCTCCGCCCTCCGACAAACCTCGTGCCCTCCTTAAATATAAATATCTCAGAAACGGACAGTACTTCCTGTGCAATAGCTCGTTTTCAGATTATACATTTGTACATCCCAATAAATGAGCATTAGCATTTCTCGACTTTTTTCAATTAGGGTTTAGGATCTTACACTTTAAAGCTAAGGTTAGTGAATTATTTTTGTACGACTTCCGCATAGTCAGCTTTTTGATGTATTTCTTTGTAATTTAATCAAACTCTGCAAACACATTGCTTTACTACAATGAATAAATTACAGTTATAAATGACTCTGGATACTTACTTTATCAAAATCGGTTCATAAATGGCAAAGTTATTGCCTAATCTAACTTTTTAAAACCCTACTGAATGCTTACTTCATGCAAATTCGTTTCCTCTTAAATATATTTGTCGAAGATTCATGTCGTGAAGTTACATCCTCATTGCAACTATTAGAATTTGAAGTAACAGAAGGCGTTACTAAATTTTACTTTTTTTAATCAAACTTAAAATTTAATTCATTATTCTTAAATTTTATTTATTCATTAATTATGGCTTTTATTTATTATAGTGTTCATACTTTGTAAACTAATTTGTATTAGCTGATCCCCGTTGACACTTGAATAAATGATTACTTGACTTGACTTGATTAACTTATGTATGTGTCAAGAAAATCGGTGTAATGCTATCATCATATAATTATTATGTATTACATAAACATTAAGAATGTTAAATTTATAATTCTAAAGTAATTTGGTTTACGTATTTGTTTTCGTTGAGCAAAAGTAAACATAATTTCATGTCTAAATGCATAATTTTATAGTGTTTTAAAGTTTTTTATAGCGGAATTTGAAAATTCCCTCCGGAACGAAACAGGTTTGGTAACGTATGTATTTCGATCCAATATTGAAGTATACATATACAAATCAACTAGGTACCAAACCTGATTATCCGAACGACTGACAAAGTTCTCCAAGAACTCCAAAGCTCTTTTATTATTACTAACCCTGCAAATACTATCAACAATGCCCACATAACAAAGATAGTTTGAATACTCCCGCCAATCTCCAACCTTTTAACCTTACTAGCTTTTATGCCCCTGCCCCAACTATGCCGTCTTCTTTCACGATACTTGGCAGCAGTTTTATAATCCATCAACCTAGTTACAATGCCACCTTCAATAGTCCTCTTCAAATGTGCTGGCATCAAACTAAATCCTTTAGGTTCGAAATGCCACCCAAAAGATGTTGCTTCCACGGTTTCTTTAGAAACCGTAAATTTACTTGCCAAGTAGAATCGTGATAAATGTTTCTGCTCGTTTAAGATGATGGATGTTTTCTCCAAAAGCGCCCTTCTCCCGCATTTTGTTATTTCGTCTTCCACAGATTTCTCAACTGTTAGACTTTCATTGGAATAATTCGTATTTAGCATCAACCCTGGAACTTCAACGTGTTGTGGATTATGCAAATTAACTATGGCAATGGCAATCTCGGACAAATTTCCGGGTTTCTTATCTGTGTAGTATTCCCAGTATTTTCTGCGGTTGTACTCGAGATGGACAAATTCCTGTAGAAACAGGAATGCTGTATAACTCTGAATATTGGTTACATTTCCGTTGTATCTTCGCAAGAACGAATAGATTTTAAAGTCTTTCCGGTTATTAAACCTTCTGAGGGAGTTGGTGTTATTCTTTGCCAAATCGTAACCCCCGCTCAGCCAGTCATAGTCCCAATATGCTTTGGCACGTGCCATCCAATCAACGGGACAATCGGTTTCTTCATTGCAGTAATTAACCGTAAGTCCGGTAAACTTGTCGACAACAGAAATCGGCAATGGGCTAAGTTCTGATATGGCTTCTCCGAGATAAAGGTTGGTGAGAACTATCCCTACCATTAAGAACCAGGCGGCACAGATTACCCTAAATGGGGTCCTGTTTTCAATCCAGCGTGGAGCATATCCTTCTTCAAAGCGGGTGGAGATTACGAAGAAAGTCGGTGAAAAGTTAGAAGAAGTAGTTAATTTGGTGTTCTCGTTGCGAATGAGTAGCGTGATGACAGCAGCTAGAATTGACGATGAAATGAGAAGTGTGATCCATACCTTGATGTGGAATGGCTTGAGGTACATCATGAAGCTTAAACCTTGTTCGACAAAACAGGACAAGAAAGTAACGCTGTCCTCTCTCCATGATACCCAATCCAAGCTCAAATAATTTGAGGCTTTTCGTAGATCCACATCGATTTTTAAATGCATGTCTAGACCTGAAATGCCAGTGTCGCAAGTGTCTCGAAATATGTCGAGATCCAAGGGACAAACTATTCCCGATGCGTTTTCCTTCTTGAGAAGCATGATAATCAAGTTCAATCCTAAGTCCTGATTCATTTTCTTATTTTTTGTGGGCTTATGTTGATCTTGTATTGGTCCAATGTATGTGGTAAAGTCCGTTGACGCACGGATATGCCAAATAGCCGGGTTTAGCTTCATGGAAATTTCACGAAACGTCTCAGCCTTCAAGACATGCTGCAGCTCCGTTTCAAAATATATAGTTTCACCAGTATTGCGTTTGTTTTTGGCACACACGTAGCAAATTAGGTGTGTCGAATCGTTCAAAATATCAGGATCGGTTATATTACGCAGTGAGTTTGATGAAATTTGCAGGAATGCTGCCCTTCGAAAATTTCGCAACTCAAAAGAACGCCAGTAAATATCAGAAATATCAGAAATATTGTAAGTAATCCTGATCCATAGTAAATGTACAGACGCTGATATGGTCACCCAGATATGTGGGTTCATTTTATCAATTACATGTGTGAGATAACCAATTCCAGAAATACTGCGTTGAAATATAAACGGATCGCTGCCCAATTTTGATGAAATTTGCAAAATATACAAACATTCATAATTCATAATTTGAAGTAAATTCAGACGCAGGCGCTGCTCGGAAAGAAAATTCAAGTCCATCGATTGATTTGAAATATCGATAAAATTTAAGAAAAGTCCGCGTTCTGGGGAGAATTGTAGGTTGGATGACTTTATCAAGCCATTATGTCCAACGTATATGTGACATTTGTTAATTGTTCCAAGCAACATATCCAACCGGAAATTTTGGATTGTTAAAAATGTTAAAATGCTACTTGAAATGGTGCCTGGCAACATGATGACTATTACTGATACGTTGATCGTACAAAGCGGGCAACGGCGAATATTTATGATATATTTATGAGGCTTATTCTGGCACCGAGAAAAACTAATTTCCTTTCCAACTCGATGTATGTAATTATCTGTATGACCAGAAAAATAGTAATATCTAGTAATAATCAATATTTAATGAAGGACAACCCGATTGTGTATGTAATATTTGTGCAGATAAATTGCCATAGAATTGATTAGTTTCTGTGTCTATTAGCGCTTTTAAACTTAAGAGTATATCAGAGACATCAAAAACAGGCTTGATATAAGATATACCACGTCCACACCTTCCTGCGACATCTAGTCCACCAACTCCCAATGATACTTGGCGGGTGTTAAAAATATTTAATTTCATTAGCATTGTAGAGTAGATATTTCGAATAAATTTGTTTTTTGAATCATCAAAATCGTAACAGGGAGTCAAAAATGCGAACGGTTGAAAGTCAAGAGTTCGCCCGTCAAGTTTTTCACTACTACGAAAATGTGACCGAGTGCAATTTGAAAAACACCTTTCGCCACTTCACCGAAGAAGGGAAGCATCGGGGAACAATTTTTAATATAGTGCAAAGATACAGAAGAGTGGAATCGCGGAGTACGGGACTGTCAGGGGTTTTGCGCCTATGAAATTATCGAAGAAACTGGTGGAGAATGTTCAAAGAGAGCTCCAACTCAGGCCGTCCATATCGGTCAAGAATGTAGGTTCAACCAACAGTTGAAATTGACCAAATCAGCCGTGAGCAAAATTAAAGTCCATAAACTTGTGTTGAAGACCAATGTCAAAATGAATGTTCCAAATCAAACACCGGACCAGGAAAAACGATCAAACACGGCAGCAAGGAAAATTTACCAAAATTTATTTGCAAAGTTGTGGTGATTTGTGGTGGAAAGTGCGTCGCACAAATTCCCGAAAAAGTCGCAGGATGCAATTTTTGTAGTACTTCGGATCCTTAGGTAGTTACTTTTGAGCACAAATTCACAAAACAAAAATAAATTTTAAAAAAATCAGGTGAAGTAGGCAATGGATGAAAATGGCAACTCTTCCAAACCCTTCATTTCCGAGGCCAGTATTAATGCTAAAGTAAGCCTGGAGAAGTGCGTATAAGACATTTTGATACCCTCTATAGTTGACCATTATGGAATTTAGATCGTTTTATTTTGACCTGATATGTCCTCTTTCCATTATACACAAATAATGACAACATACTGGAGGTGAAAGTGGAATATGTGAGTAAGAAGGATAACGCACCAAATGTGCCTCAAACAAGAGGGATCGAGATATTTTGGGCATTATGCAAGGAACTGTATTCTAGACGATCAAATAAAACAGTCCGCTTGACGGAATTTCCAACCGTTTGACAAATTTAAGTAACGCAGTAGCTGCGGAGTCATGAAAAGCGGTAATGGAGAAATATGGAAGGATGCTTCGAAATACTGGATACAAAGGAGTTCGGAGGGCTGTGTCGGAAACAATTAATTTTTAGGTACCCTCGACTACACACACGTATAAATGCTAAGACTTATCCTGCCAAACTTTGGAAATCTGTAATTAGCTTTTGAAAATGTCGCAGGAAGGTGTGCACGTGTCTTATAGATGCTGTCGTACCGATGTATTAGAAGTTGACAAAGTTATTATGCTCCCATTTTTTACGGTACCAAAATATCATATTAGATAAGCTTATGTCACTCAAACAGAATCAATATGTGTATTACATGCCAATATTTATGTTGACAAGAGTATTGTCAAGAAATAAATGGCAGAAATTAATTAGACTTTTTTATCTTATTTATTGTGTATTTCGTAATTATTATGTAATTCCACAAAATCCAAAAACTTGACTCCAAATATGAAATTAATAGTACATACCAGAAAATAATGGTAATTTTTGCTAATGTTTTGAATCCTACTAAACCTGTGCTAAAGCTTGAGAATCATTAACGAAACATATTTCTCCTTTCCATTCTCCTCCGCAAAAAATTTGGAACCATCAACATCCTCATCTACAGCGTCTTTAAAATATGACCGTGCCATTTCGCAATATCCCACCTTATCAGCAATCCTCTGCGATGTAGGGTTTGTAAAGTAACCCATTGCCAGATCCAGGTATTTCTTCCTCATTAATTGGACCGACCTTATCATCAATTCTTGCGCTAACCCGATATTTCGATGTTGACTGGATGTTGCCAATGCATAATTCCACACGACCTCTTCAACAGACTGCGTCCCAAACATAGCGAACTAAAAAATCATTAAAAATCATTAAGATACTTATATTAAAAAATAATCATTTTATTCGTATAATTATAAAAAAAAATATTTCTAAAATTTTTTATCACCATTTAAAAAATTATTGATTCTCAAAGTAGTAACTTGCATGAATATTTTTGATAAAAACAATTTGACGAAAATGCTGAAATTATGAAATTGCAAGATTACCTTCGTTTCGTCCATCGGTTTAAACAAAGCATTTTGAATTCGATAATAAATTAAGGCAGGTTTTGACGCCAATCTTTTATACCGAATTCCATTATCCACGTATTCACTCATATTTTTCCTTTCTTCTTCCTTCCTTATTTCTGCCATCTCTTCGTCAGCTTCTTTCTTAGTCCATCGATAATTTAGGAGAGCACCAGCAATTTCACGAGAATTAAATTCTATCGCAATCAGACAAATGTCCAAGTTCTTTTTTAATTTTTCGGTGGTTGACCAATCCGTCGTTTGGACACTTTTGAGCTTTCCAATTTTGCAGAGGTGTTGGCCGATTGGTTCGTCGAAGTAAAAATGGTGAGCTAGGAAGTCTTTAATTTTGTCGAGCTCGTCCACTCCAGGGGGACGAATGTAATAATTTTTGTAGGACGATTCGTAGCTCATTTTAGTTAATAAAATAATTTTGTGATGATTAGTTTGCTTGATAAAATGTTTCAATGGGGAATTTCTTAAAGTGGAATTAGCGAATTGTGGAATTTCTTCTGCCAGATGTATGGATAATAGAAGATATGAACTGTGTAATATATGCGGTGGAGTGGAGCGAACTTAATTACCAGTCTGACATAGTGATATAGAGATAGTGTTATCTATAACCGTGTTGTTGTTATCTTTGCGAATCCAGGGGAACCATATCGCGACGGATCTTGTCCATTCTCGAATAGAATTGAGTGTATTTGAGAGGACACGAACAAATGTATAGATCCGTCCTCGAGACCTACGAATGCATGTGTAAATTGGGATTTTGAAGCTGGCAATGGGGAAAAAATTATTTAATATGAATTGTGTGGATTCCCTTGAAACAAAAGTTACACATTTGTCACATAGATAAAATAAAGGGAACCTTCCCATATCGTAGCAAAAACCTGAAATTTGTTGTCTTTGGCACTTACCCCAATATATGTATCATGCATTAACTTTCTCTACTAATTTACATGCAAAATACGTAACGTATGACGTAACGTGACCGTAGCGATGTTAGCGATGTTAATTTATCACTTTGAAAAACTTTATCAATTTAAAAACAAAACACTTGATGCTTTCTCCTAACGAGAAACAATCAAGTGTACCCAGCATATCCCATTCTCATACATATATCCCCAGTGGCCGCGGAAGCGTGGGGACATGGGGACAATTTCCCCACGGTATTTCGATGTCCCCATAATCTGCCCATGTTATAAAAACCCCACCCTCTCCTATCCTGCAATGTTAATGTCCCCAGATGTCCCCACAGCTTCCGCGGCCACTGTATATCCCTAATTCTGTGGTGGCCAATGGAACCTCCAATTTATGTAAATAACAAATTATCAAATTATCAAACACCACAATACCTCAAAGTTTGTCCATCTTTACATCGCGAATAATCAGTCCTCCAGTTTTTAATAATATATACTACTTGAATGCTAAAATTGCTACCTGACTAATCTGATAATTTAAATGTATGTATGTACCAACTTGATTATAAGTTCCCGAAATGTAATTATTTAGCGATGATGGCTGCGGCCATATCGTACTTATAATAAAAACACGTGATTGGTTGATTAAACTTATGTAAATAAGTAACACATTTTCCAACGCGAATTCAAGAAATGGAAATAAATTTATTATTTGTCATACTAAGGAGGGGAACCCCTCCACATGCCACTCTCAGATCCAGATTCCCTTTTGCATATGTGGTAGCCCTAGGTGAGTGGTGGATAACACCCTAAAGTGGTTTTACTCCATGGTCCCATTTGCGCCCGCCACACCCCCTCGAATGTATTTCCAATGCTAAACTAGCTGATTTCAAACCTACGCCAAAAATCCAATTTTGATCGGATTTTGATAATTTTTTGGATTTTCTTGATCCCAGTGAGTTACTTTGTCATACTCGATATCAAACTCAGCTTTTTTAAAATTTTGAAATCTTCGAAAACACACCCCCAGTCAGGAAATTTTTAAGAACACAAAAGTTTGTAAACTTCGAGTATGGTATCAAATATAATAAAGCAACTCTCTGGGATCAAGAAAATCCAAAAATTATCAAAATCCGATCAAAATAGGATTTTTGGCGTAGGTTTGAAATCAACTAGTTTAGCATTGGAAACACATTCGAGGGGGTGTGGCGGGCGCAAATGGGGCCATGGAGTAAAACCACTTTAGGGTATTCCACCAGTCAACTAGGGCTACCACATATGCAAAGGGCATTCGGATCTGAGAGTGGCATGTGGAGGGGGTCCCCTCCTAAGAAGAAACGCAATTCCGTATCGTACAAATTTAAATACTTAAGGCACAATAGATGTACTATTTTCTTCCGATTTACGTAGGATGTTAGAAGCGCAGCAGTGATACCCGGCGTTACAGGTGCCCAAAATAGCCGATGAAGTTGGACAAGGCCCAGCAGTCTCGATGCAAACAGTGAGGGGCAATGGCAGACCTAATAGTCCGCATGGCTGACCATCATCTAAAATTAGATTGAGTTGTTAATTAGTTAAGTATTGTATATTTTTAATGGACAATTGATTACAATTATCGAATTGGATATAATAGGGAGGTTGAGCAAGAGGCAAATTTTGTGATTGTGACTGTAATTTTGATTGTAGTGATAGGAAGTCCTGTACTTCTACAATCAAATTTACAGTATAATCACAATATTTGACTCTTGCTCAACCTCCCTAATATTTTCTGATTTTTGTTGAAAAATTAACTATTGACGAGCTTCTAATAATAATAATTGTCATTGATAATTATAACTTTAATACGGTAATTTTAATTGTCAATATTAATCAACTAACTTATAAGGAATGAGTACGTGAGAAATTAATATGCACTAACCTCCACTCGAAAGTAGCGACTGACAGAAACTTGTAGGTAGGAGGACAGCCAAGAGGAAAATGGGGATTAAGAGACGCGCCATTTTTTAAATCCTGATTTGCGAATATGCTGAAAATTAATTTAATAACTGAAATATTTGAAACTCTTTATTATACTTTGAATTGTCTGGTACGTTGTCAAACTTACGGATCCTGAGTGAGTACAAAAATGTTGGTTTAGTTTGTTCCGAAAGTTTACCCTGGAGTGAACTGAGGAGTATGAACCTTAGAAAAAGTAGTCATATTAGAATAACTACGGACTAAAAGGGTCGACTTATGTATAAAATGCGTTAGCTTACAAAGTGCCGATATTTAAAAAAAATAGTGCTCACAAAGAGAAGGAATGTTGGCACCCTTTCTAAAAAAAGAAGGATTAAGTCATAAAATTTTCTACACCCGCAGCGTTAATGGAAATGTGTACTTTAAGTATTCTATCCCTTCTAAAAAAATGGGGATTCAACCACGTCTACTACATAATCCAGTGCGTTTAATAGAAATGTGGAAAAATGTAGTTCTTGGAATTTTATTTAGTATAATTTGAAAATATTTTGGGTTTGCGATGCAATTAATGAAATGTTTATTATGGAAATAAGCTACCTATGTATGTTGTAGCTAATCTGAAGGGTAGACAAAGTCGATAATAAGGCGCCGATGCAACCCACCTGGCGATTCCAAGTTACAGGCTGCCGCTGGCGGTGTAAATTTATCATCGAAAGGAGTTTTTAACAAACTTTGTGGCTATTTCGATAAACTGCTTTGAATACAATTTCTACGTAAATTTCTTACAATTAAGTCTATGTCGCTGATTTAGACTTTTTTGGGAAATCGTCTTTTATTTATGTTTATATCAGTTTAATATTTCTAATCTCAACAATTATGGCATAAAAGATGATTCTATGCAAAGCTATAAATTTAATTATTTTGTTTACAGTGGTAACAGAAATAATAACATGTGAAGGTTCTGATATGATAGAATACAAGTGTTACGAAATTAGCACAAGCGGCTGCAGTTTGTACTTTTTTTTTACTTTTTTTTAAACCACACTAAAAACCTTATTACGTAATGTATTTTTGTTCTTTAAAAAATAATTTGATTGTATAGTTATCGAACAGCGAATCGAATTGGATTTCATACAGCTTCACTGGACTCAATCTGTAAAATATATATATTTTTTTGTTAATTTGTTAGTAAGACATTTCCTTGGAAATTTGATTTTTACTTAATTTCTCATTACATACCTCTCTATCTGACCCTGTTGCCCAGATAGGGTGAGAGTAAATGACTAGGTTTAAATCATCCTGAAACAACATGTATGACCCCTTTCCCGTAGTCCCGCTGCTATAGCGTGGCCTTCCCCGGACATCATAAATCACAAAGTTTCCATCCCTCTGAAAAATTGCGTGGTCACCAACCCCAGCCGTGTTTGAGGCCCACTTAACTTTTCCAGAGTTATCGCAGATGACAGCATTTCCGTCAAGTTGGAATTCAAACCAGCCCTTAGAGACACGGCAGGTCGTCATCTTTGGAATTATTTCGTCGGCATTGTACTGACATGAGGATAATGCCCCTTGTACAATGGAAAAAATGAAGAGGGTGGAAATAATGAGGGGTTTCATTTTGTAAAACTTGAAAGAATTGAATTATTTGTCTTGTGTGGAATAATGGTGCAATCCTGATCACTTAAATACTTGATGATTTGCGCAATACGTTGTCAAGAATTTACTAATTATTATATGAATTCAGGTACTGATAAGGTATCATAATGACGCTTGTTATTCAGTGAACGCCGACACTTAAGATTTGTAAATAATTAAAATTCTTGTTGAATCCGATGGTCAGTAGTGTTGAGATAAATAACTAATTAAATTTTACAGTATCAATTATGCATACTTGTATGTACTAAATTATTTACACGTTTAGGATAACCTCACGTGTCACAGTTGTTTCTCAAATCTGAAATAAATCGTAGCATATATTCAAATCTTCTATTTAATACTTTATTGATTGCGAAATATAAATATCTTAATTTAAATGCAATTTGCAGCCTAGTTAATTGGAAACCTTTATTTACCATAATGGCAGAATTAAGTACATGGATTTGAATTTGCCAAACAGCATTACTCCAGTCGGATCACTAGGATCAATTTTTAGCCCTAGTCAGGGCTTATGTAGTCATCGTGTTCGTCCGTCCGTCCGCACGATAACTCTCTTTAAACTCAACCGATCGACTTGAAACTTGGCACACATGTAGTATCGACAAAGTTAGGAATCGAGTTCCAAGATGAGCCAAATCGGTACACTGGTTGGACGGTGGGGGCCATATGAGTGGTGGGGGTCTTATGCATCAAATTTTCAAAATGGTCGTAGAAAGCTGAAATTTGGTACATAGGTAACTAATGGCTTCCAATGAAAAGCTATGAAGTGAATTTGCGAAAATTTTTACCTGGAGGGACCCTATGGGGTCACCCAAACTGATTTTTCAAAATCGTCCAATTAAGCTGAAATTTGGTATGGAAGTCGATAACGGCTTACAATGGGAGTTTATGATGTAAAATTTTGAAAATTTTGAACCAGAGGCACCTTGTGGGGTGACCCATACTGATTTTGTAAAATCACTCAATTAAGCTGAATTCTGGCATAGATGTTGGTAATGACTTCTAATGAAAGAATACGAAGTGAAATTGGAAGAAAATTCAGGTAGAGGGGCTACCCATAGCGATTTTTAAAAGCGTCTAATCAAGCCTGACCTAACCTGACTCGGGCTATATGGAGTCTGCACTGCAGGTTTTTAACGTTTAATGGTGAAATGAGAAAATTCCGTTGAATCTTTTGTGAATGTACTCTGATAGTGGTGCACATATTAATGTGTGAATTATGGGTATCTTATGTAAAAAAAATAGGTCAAACTTACTTTCAGCAATATATGTATAATTTTAGCAATTTCAGGAAGATAACGATCCATTCATTATATTTATGTAGATAAGAGCTCGCGTAGGTTGTGATTATCTCTCGTCAGGTATGTAGCTACGAAGAAGCTACCTATACATACGTATCCAATCCAAGAACGAAATAGTCCGATTCATAGTAAATAATGTGTTAAATTATTAAAACTTGTTTTGGCAAGAATTGTATGAGTATTTGTACTCGCAGTAAGAACAATGCTAGTATTTTACATTAATTACTTTAATTATCTTGAAAAGGAAAACTACGTATAAAATTGCCCATGCCTGAAAATTAAACTTTACCCAATTGCATCCAACATGACTTTTAAACATATATGTAATTCAAATCAGTCTTCATACATATATTCAAATTAGTGCCTTCCTAGGTATATCTTCCTGTTATGGGAAAATCAACGCATTCTGACATTTATTGGCACGTAGGTGTGAATCAAAGCGTTGAAGCAGATTTACTTTAAATTTACCCGTAATTTCGATTAAATATCACCTTTACCCTGTGTAAATATTTTATCGGCGCGTGGCATTAATTAACTTAATAAGCGTATGTAACAGATTAATTAACTGATAACACGTGTGGATGATAATCAAGTGATTAATGAAGAAATCACGCATGTCGTCAGTCACAGAAGAGGCATTCATACTTACTAAGAGAGGAATCTCATCATCCATGGTGGGCAGTGGTACTCCCCATAAATCCGGATTCACCTGGATTCGAACCCTAAGATTCTGACGCAAATTAAGGACGTGATTCTGACCCCTCCTACACCCACAACTTTACACGATATCACTGAGACCTTAGCCTCCCTCGCGTTACATAATTTATGAACAGGCCCCTCGCAGAATAATGTGACAGAGCAAAAAAATGTTTTACCCAGTAGAAAATATCTCCTCTTTCGTATTTAGTGTGAATTTGGCTATCGATTTTAACTTGACGCTGCGATTGTATTTATGTGGAAGCAGAGCGAAAGATAGTAAAAACAATTTAATAAAGTTAGATAAGTTCTGATACATATAATCCACGCGTTAACCCACTTTAGATTCAGTGGGAGGCTAGCAGAACCCGCAAACCGTAGGATTCTCTCTCTAGTCATGTATTCCATCCAATTTTTACCATTTTTAATTCGCCACTTCAAATTTGCTCGGCGAGGACGATTCCTTCCCTTCGAATGGGATGAAGGCGAAGGAAAACTTTGTCTTTGTAAATCGCAGAGGAGAGTCCGCCTCTCCCAAATTCAATCGGTCGTGGCTCTGGCTTACTTTCTCGTCTTGTTGGGTCATTTTATCCTGGGCAAACTCACTTTTCTGAAGCGCCTACAAGCCATTCCATTCCTGATCTGTTACACAATCTTGCTATCTGGTGGATGGAATGTGGGGCTAAATATTGCTCCGATACAAACGATTAATTCAATCATAACGTTTGAAAATGAGTTTCTTGCAGGTTGGTTGAGCTAATCCGTAATCTCAATAAAAATAAATGTACTTTTCAACGAATTTTTAGTATTAGCTGTTTTAGGAGAAATTCCAAATTTTCTGAATAACAAAAAATTACTGCAGTTAAAATTTATGCTTTTATCATTCAATTTCACATAAAATACCAATCCAATACACTGTGACCCAAAAGTATCTGCGCATCACTCTCGCGCGCGGTTTTCATCCACTTTCTCCCTTACATCGTTTGTGTTTACTTTTATTCTTAAACATTTCTTGACCCAATGGCCTCAAATGTCATGCAATCTCGTGGACACCCGAGTGAGGATGCACACATTATCACAAGAAGGATATCCTGTCGAGAGCAGATACATTTGGGACACGGTGTATTCCAAGTTTTTTTTAGACAGGCTGGGAAAAGGAATGAGTTTTTATGTATATTTTGTTACATAGCAACGAGTCAAAAATTATATATGTATAATATTCCATTTTTGGTATATTTGGGACCCGTTTTTAAATAAGAAGGTCGAATTACTTAACAAATTTTTAATTTCAGACAAGTCAAGCATCACCAAGTCCATTGAAGTGAAAATCATCTCCTTGTTTCTGTACGTGTCATCGTTTACGGTTCTCGTCGTTCCTGCCGCCGTGTTCCTTCTTCTCACCTATGACCCATGCATGCCCCCATTCCTCCTCTCTATGTCGGACAACTGCAAGCACATCTCTGGGCTGGAAATATTCGTCATCTTGTTCGAAGCATGGATGGCTCTGCATATGTTCTGCTCCGGTACGACGTGGATCTTTTACATCCTCTCTGTCGGAATTGTCACCATTCTCAACTACTTTCAACTTTTGGA